GAGCAGGGAGCCCGATGCGGGACTCGATCCTGGGACTCCAGGATCATGACCTGAGCCGAAGGCAGTCGCTTAACCAACTGAGCCACCCAGGCGCCCTACTAAATTGGTCTTTTAAAGAAAATATTTTTTTGTGAAATATGGAGACATTTTAAGCAATGCTAAAAAACAAAGGCAAATCTTATCTCCCAGATTGAATCATAAGATACCTTTGACATCCTTTCTGGATTGGCAGTTTTTCACAAAAATTAGTTTTTAACTATTTAGATGGCTCTTTTACCATGTTCTTTATCATTCTTAAAGATTCATTTCTTGGTTTCTCTTATCAACTTAAGTTTGCTCAATTATGAAGTTTATCTTCTCTTAACTTGTAGCTTTTACATCCTGACAAGGTTATGGTTGTGTGAGCTAGAAATTAATTTTCTGCTCATTTTCCTTGGGGCAGTGTTCTGTATCCAGTTATAAATAACATTTGTGGACTTCTGTCCTCTCTGAAGTTCTGAATTGCTATACTAGATGTCATATGGAGGATAACCTTCAAAATACATTCCTGATTGCACAACAACCTTGAGTAATTTTGAGATGACCTATAGTGATACCATTGAAAATAACCGGGTTGCTGTTGTACTCTATAATTTTGAGTGCATGATCAAGTGATTTTTACAATGAATTTATGCTATAGATATTATTTGGTAGGAATATTAAGCAAATCAACAAAGTTGTAGATGATTGCCTTTTACTTTATTTAAGTTTTATTTCTTCTGAATATATCCATGTAAAATGAATGGGATTTATTTCCCAGAAAGTATTTTATTTGGATTTTAAAACAATTAGTATGTGAAAAATAGCTTTTGAAGAATATTAAGAAGTTGTATAGTTTTGATTCTCAAGAATTACTCTGAACAAGGGACATAATAAACTGGTTGTTGCTGTCATTACATTTTGCCACCATTTGTTTCTAGGGACGGTAAGAAGAGAGATTTTATATAGTGCAGTTCCTTTAGTGCCAGCCACTTTTGTTGTCAAGTGGCACTAAGCCTAAAAACACGTTACAGTTCTAACACATGCCATTTCTCTTTTAGGTTTTGGCTTGGTTTGAAGAAGGTGAAGAAACAATTACAGCCTTTGTAGAACCCTTTGTAATTTTACTTATATTAGTAGCCAATGCAATTGTGGGTGTATGGCAGGTAAGCAAAAATTCTGCAGTGCTAGAGTTTAGCAATTTATATAAGTGATTTAAACTGTGTTAATCTGTTTTTTTTTTTTTTTCCTGATGTATTGACTAAAAATATCTCTGGAAAATCTACGTGTGCTTTTTCTTTTGTCTGTTTATTTAATGGCAACATTTTAGACCTCTCCTGCATGTATATACTGTTAAAATTGCTCATCCTTCATGCAGCATGGAGTTAAGAATAATGGATGAGAGAAGCTATTTGAGGAAAACCAGGAAATTTGAGATTCAGTATCTGTATATTTCCTAGCTGCTTCCTGTGAAAAGTTTCATAAATTCAATGTCATTTTTATTCTCCTTGGATTTTTTTTTTTTTTTTTAACTGTAAAAATTGTTTTCCCTTCAGAGCATACTTCTGGCTGTTTTCCCTCAGTTGCCTGGGCCTTTCTGACTCACAGAATGGAAGCCAGTTTACAGAAACATAATGGGATTCCTACCCACCCCCACTTCATGTAATTGCTATTCTGTATATATCTAGTTTAGAGGACTTTAAATTTCCTTTTTTTTTTTTTTTTAAGATTTTATTTATTTGACGGAGGGAGACACAGCGAGAGAGGGAACACAAACAGGGGGAGTGGGGGAGGGAGAAGCAGGCTTCCCGCTGAACAGGGAGCTCAGTGTGGGGCTCGATCCCAGGACCCTGGGATCATGATGTGAGCCGAAGGCAGACGCTTAACAACTGAGCCACCCAGGCACCCCAAGTGCATCTACATTCTTAAAGTAGAAACATTTTATAAGCATACTTAGTCCTATTAGAATTGTAAACTTCTGGGGTGCCTGGGTGGCTCAGTCAGTTAAGCAGCCAACTCTTGATTCGGCCCAGGTCATGATCTCAGGATTGTGAGATCCAGCCCTATGTCAGGCTCCCCGCTCCGCAGGGAATCTGCTTGAGGTTCTTCCTCTCCTTTTGCCCTCCCCCCTACCCCCCCCCACACACTTGCACTCTGTCTCTAAAATAAATAAGTAAATCTTTAAAAAAAAATTGTAAACTTCTGATCTTATTAATAAACATGAAGGCCTTTATGTAGTGGGCTCATACAGAAGGATGGTCTACTTAGAAGAAAATATTATTGTGCTATATTTCTCTTACTTTAATTTTTTTCTAAAGTTGTTTATATTTAAGTAGAAGTGATCCTCTTGTGAATAATATAGGCAAAAGAAACAATATACAGCATTAGATTGTCCTTCTCAAGCTAGTAATATATATTTTCCTATTAAATAATTTATGCTAGTTACTAGGTAGGGTACATACATTCCCATGTCATTGTTACAGTGATGTTATAAGACAAATGATATTCCCATTTGACAGATGTGACATTGAGGTTCAGAGTGATTAAGTGACTTCTTAAAGGCTATACAGGTAGTACAGAGTATCTGTGACTTGAATCTAGGCCCAGGCTTGCTCCAAATTTGAAGTAAAATTTTACAGCAGTTTTCACAGGACTTTTATATTTATCTTAGTTTAAAAAATAACATTCTTAGGTTTTAATCTCATTTACATAGTATACAGATGGTATGGGCAATACTGAAGAGTTCTTGCTTCTGGAAGTAAGGGAAATTATAAGAGTGTAAGGTAGTATTGGGAGGTTGCGGGGGGCACATGCTGCTGACCAGTGTCATCAAAGAAGGTGACAAGTGATTGGCAACTAGAGAAATCGAGAATTGTTCCAATTTTAGTATATATGCTGCTGAAGTGAGCACTTGATAGAACCTGTTTGTTTTTTGTTTTTTGTTTTTTTAATACAATGTATTATTTTCAGGGGTACAGGTCTCTGATTCATCAGTCTTACACAATTCACAGCGCTCTCACCATAGCACATACCCTCCCCAGTGTCCATCACCCAGCCACCCCACCCCCCTCAGCCCCCACCACTTCAGCAACCCACAGTTTGCTTCCTGAGATTAAGAGTCTCTTATGGTTTGTCTCCCCCTCTGGTTTTGTCTTGTTTCATTTTTCCCTCCCTTCCCCTATGATCCTCTGTCTTTTTTCTCAAATTCCTCATATCAGTGAGATCATATAATAATTGTCTTTCTCTGATTGACTTATTTCACTTAGCATAATACCTTCTAGTTCCATCCACATTGTGCAAATGGCAAGATTTCATACTTTTTTTTTTTGATGGCTGCATGATATTCCATTGTATATATATTACCACGTCTTGTTTATCCATTCATCTGTTGATGGACATGTAGGCTCTTTCCATAGTTTGGCTGTTGTGGACATTGATGCTATAAACATTGGGGTGCATGTGCCCCTTCGGATCACTACATTTGTATCTTTGGGGTAAATACCCAGTAGTGCAATTGCTGGGTCATAGGGTAGCTCTATTTTCAACCTTTTGAGGAACCTCCATACTGTTTCCCAGAGTGGCTGCACCAGCTTGCATTCCCACCAACAGGATATAACCTATTTGAATTTGTGATCATTTGTTTCCCTTTCCCACCCCTACATTCTAAATATTCCTTTTGATCATTTGAGTTGAGAGGAAGCCTTTTAAAGTAGTTTTAATTGGCATTTTTGTCCTTGGGGTCTGAGATAATTTATCTTTAATGCTTCTAATTTAAATGTACTTTTGCTAATTTTGAGTAGAAGTAAAATCCAGTGCTCCTGGGATATCTCTTAACCTTGAGCAATCTAGTTAAACTCTATCTGACATGACCTTGTAGAGGGAGAAAAGGAATTAAAACTGCCACAGTTAACAAATGGGAGAGGTGATTCTATGGAAAAAAGTGGTTTCAAATTTGACTAATTGAATAGCAGCAGTGCTGAGAATTTATTCTTTTACAATATCAGTAGCATTTGAATTTAAGGACCTTATAGCAATGACATTTAATTAGAATTAAATATTCTAGCATTTCTGTTAATTACAAGGTGATACAGATAATATTCTTTAAGCAAATCTGATATGGGGTTGAAATTATTTTTATCATGAGGTTCCCAAATTTAACATATTCTGTACTTTTTCACGGATGTAAACATTTAAAGTGAGACTCATGCCATTAGCTTTCAGTTTTAAGCCCTCTAACTTCACTTTAAGCAGATTTTGGGATTTTTTGCGACAGACCATAATTTTTACACTCAGGTAAAAATGAGATTACAGGGACACCTGGGTGGCTCAGATCTTGATCTCTGGGTCCTGGGATTGAGCTCCGCATTGGGCTTCCTGCTCAGCGGGGAGTCTGCTTCTCTCTCTCCCTCTGCCCCTCCACCCTGCTTGTGTGCTCTCTCTCTCGCTCTATCTCAAATAAAATCTTTTTTAAAAAAATGAAATCATGTAGTATTGTGTGTAAATTCTACCCAGATAAGGTTAAATTGAGCTTTGGGGCGCCTGGGTGGTTCAGTCGTTAAGCGTCTGCCTTCGGCTCAGGTCGTGATCCCAGGGTCCTGGGATCGAGCCCCGCATTGGGCTCCCTGCTCAGCGGGAAGCCTGCTTCTCCCTCTCGCACTCCCCCTGCTTGTGTTCCCTCTCTCACTGTCTCTCTCTCTTTGTCAAATAAATAAAATCTTTTAAAAATTAAAAAAAAAGGTTAAGTTGAGCTTTATATCAGAAGGCAAGAAGTGAGAGAAATGAATCCTTTCCTTTGTGTTTTGAGTAACCTCACCTGGGCATGCACTGTGTAGATTTGCTCCTTGACTTCTTTTTTTTTTTTTTTATTTTTATTTATTTAATCGAGAGAGAGAATGAGATAGAGCATGAGAGGGGGGAGGGTCAGAGGGAGAAGCAGGCTCCCCGCCGAGCAGGGAGCCCGACGCGGGACTCGATCCCGGGACTCCAGGATCATGACCTGAGCCGAAGGCAGTCGCTTAACCAACTGAGCCACCCAGGCGTCCCTGCTCCTTGACTTCTAATTGCTTACTCTCCAAAAGGAGAGAAGACAAATTTGGCACATGTGCTTTTCTTTTTCTTTTTTTCTTCCCTTAAAGGAACTTTCCTGTAGCTTTTTTTTTTTTTTAAACATATTTTGATTTCTGCATCTTTCATCTCAAAATTTGGAAAGAAAACCTATGTATGATTAAGGTTTGATATACTTGTATACAGTATTACAGTAAATATGGTATATATGCTATGGGACTGGCAGTTTTTGTTTTTTGGTTTTTTAGGGGGAGGTGGAAGGGAGGTAGAGGGAAACCTAATCAGGGTCCACGCCCAGCACAGGGCCCAACAGGGCTTGATTTCACAACCCTGAGATCTTGACCTGAGCCAAAATCAAGGGTCAGCTGCTTGGGGAGCCTGGGGGGCTCAGTCAAGCGTCTGACTCTTGGCTTCAGCTCAGGTCATGATCTCAGGGTCATGAGTTCTAGCCCCACCTCGGGCTCCGCACTCAGCATGGAGTCTGGTTAAGATTCTCTCTCCCTCTGCCGTCTGCCCTGCCACCCATGCACGTGCATGTTCTTTCTCAAAATAAATGAATCTTAAAGAAAAAGTTGGATATTTAAAATGACTGAGCCACCCAGGCACCCCAGGACTGACCGTTCTCTGATGAGATTCCAACCATTTATTAGTCTTCACTACTGCAGAGAGATTTCCTAGAATTTGAGATGTAACTTGATTTTCTTAATTTTCATCACTCATAACATGTATTATTGGCCAAAACACAGTCTAAATAGTTTGTAAATCCTCATAGCCCTTGCGGTAGTAGTGTTGGTGTCCAGGTTTTGTAGGCACCAAACCTGTGTGTTGTGTAGCTCCTGCACAATCACTTAGCTGTTAAGTGGAAAAGCCTGGGGTGAACCTAGGCAGTCCAGCCCCAGACCATCACTTTTCATGTGAGACAGGATCAATTTTCAGTGGTGTGGCTGTGACTGGAGGTGAGGGCCTTGTTACACAGTGGGCTTGGGAACAGCAGATTCTGTAACTGCTTTTTCCTGTTAGGATTTTATTCCCTGTTCAGGCCTGTTAGGGTGCTTAATTCTTCATTTTTTAGCACAAAATTGTAAGATCCTGGTGTTTTATCATCTTACGTGAATTGTTTATAAGTATCATTAATGTGCATCTTTTGTGTCTTTTTTCCTAAAGTTTAGAAGTCTAAAATTTGATTCCTTGGACTAAAATACTAATTTGCAGTGGCAAGTATGTGTTGACTACTTTTATCTTTTTTATAGGAAAGAAATGCTGAGAATGCAATCGAAGCCCTTAAGGAATATGAGCCTGAAATGGGCAAAGTATATCGACAGGACAGAAAGAGTGTCCAGCGGATTAAAGCTAAAGACATAGTTCCTGGTGATATTGTAGAAATTGCTGGTGAGTTGAGTTTGTCATTTTTGTTTTATTCTAGATTGTGTATCTGAACGCAGTCCTTTTCTCAAGGCTCATAATTGTTTTAAAAATTGTGCTCAGGGACACCTGGGTGGCTCAGTCGGTTGAGCGTCTGCCTTCGGCTCAGGTCATGATCCCAGGGTCCTGGGATCGAGCCCCATATCGGGCTCCCTGCTCAGCGGGGAGCCTGCTTCTCCCTCTGCCTGCTGCTTCCCCTGCCTGTGTTCTCTCTCTCTCTCTCTGTCAAATAAATTTTTAAAAAAATTATGCTCAGATGTATCAATTATATTAACAGGTTTTGGTGCCTTCCAAACAAATCAAGTTTTCTGTATATTTATTTCTAGGTGTTTGGCACCTCCCCTCGTGTTGATAAAACTTGTTTGTTTTAAACAGTGTTTTGAACTGTTGTACTTAATACTTTTGGTCCGTGGTAGAACACTAGCACTAGTGAAATAATGAACTTAATCTCTATTTGACAATTAGTTGAAGTGAGCAATTTAGAAGACAAGTTAAGGGCTGCATAGTTTTTCCTGTTTTGGTTCTTGATACAAATGTTTAGTCATACTTGTAACTATCAAACTAAGTAGATGGTTAAGGGTAATTTCCCAGCTCTAAAAAGCTCTGCTTTAAAATACTTCTGCATAACGCAGAGCCAGGGGTCTCAGCTTCAAAGACCTTCAAAGAGTTTGTGAATTCAGTGCAAGGCCAGAGCTCTCCACAGATCTTAAAGGGGTTTGTATTCTCATTGCTCAAGATCAGTACCATGTTTTTAGGCAGCCCTGAATGCCCAGAACCAATAACAGTCTAGTCTTTTTGCTGGAGAGTTATATCAGATTATTCACACTGTCATGGTTTTTCACACCTTGCTGAGCTCCAGATACTTTTTACCAGTTGATCCTTGAACAATGAAGGAGTTGGGGCGCTCAGGAATCCATGTATAACTTTTGACTTCCCCAAAACTTTACTGCTGGCCTTATATACAGAACATAGTCAGTTAAGACATGTTCTGTATGTTTATATGTTTTATATATTGTATTCTTAAAGTAAGTTAGAGAAAAGAAAATGTTACTAAGAAAATCATAAGGAAGAGAAAATACAGGGGCGCCTGGGTGGCTCAGTCAGTTAAGTGTCTGCCTTCAGCTCAGGTCATTATCTCAGGGTCCTGGGGTGGAGCTCCAAATCAGGCTCCCTGCTCAGTGGGGAGCCGCCTTCTCCCTCTCCCACTCCCCCTGCTTGTGCTCTCTCTTTTTCTGTCAAATACACAGGATTGTATTATTTTTAAAAATCCATTTTTTAAACTAATTTTGACATTGAGAATATTGTAAGAATAGTAACAGTTCCCACATATCCTTTACCCAGATTCTCAAAGTGTCAATGTTTTATCACATGTGCATTATCCTTTTTCAGTCGATACCTATACGTTCACACATTTTTGTCTGAACTATTTGGGAATATGTCACAGGCATGATGCCTCTTTATCCTTAATACTTGAGAATTTATAAAATCAAGGGCATTCTCTTAGTATAAGTTCCGTACAATTATCAAAATCAGGAAATTGATACAAAACTTGTCTAATCGACAACCTCATTCAGTTTTTTACTTGTCACAGTGGATTTTATAGCAAAAATAAGAATTAGGGAATTCTGGCTGTGATACGGAAAATAGGTCAGAATGGGGAAGGCTAGAGATAGGCTATTTGATAGTCTAGGCCAAAGGTGATGAGGCAAGAGATAATGAGAGCAGTAGCATTAAGAATAACAAGGGAAGAATTTTTGAGTTTATGAATAGTGGTTCTTAAGCGGAGGTGCACATCAGAATCATCTGGGGGCGCTCTTTAAAGTTTTGACCAGGTCCTGTCCCAAAATAATTGAATCTCCCTTGGGCATGAAATTATGGCCTTTGTAGTTTGACAGATAGTCTCAAATTTCAATGCTGAGTGACAGGTTTTAATAACTAGATGGGGGGCGCCTGGGTGGCTCAGTCATTAAGCGTCTGCCTTTGGCTCAGGTCATGATCCCAGGGTCCTGGGATCGAGCCCCACATCGGGCTCCCTGCTCCGTGGGAAGCCTGCTTCTCCCTCTCCCCCTCCCCCTGCTTGTGTTCCCTCTCTCGCTGTGTCTCTCTCTGTCAAATAAATAAAATCTTTAAAAAAAATAAATAACCAGATGGGTGTATGGAGCTGACTGGGCTTGGGATGTAGAATCAAAGCCACTGGCAGGATTTCTGATTTAGGTGACTGGATGGTGATGGTGCTGGTAATTGAGGAAGGAAACCTCAGAGAAAGATGGTTTGTCTTTCCAGACGTACGTATGTGAGAGGTGCAGTTGCTGATAATGTCACCTAAATTTGTGTATGAGATTCCATTTGACTTCATATGTTTTCCATTTCTCCAGTTTAATCTGGTAATATACTCATATACTCTTCAGCCTCTCGCACTAAAAATATTTTAAGAGTTTTTATGCTAGTTAGTCTATATCAGTATATTGAGTCTATATGAAAAGTTAGGGAGGGGCGCCTGGGTGACTCAGTCGTTAGGTGTCTGCCTTCAGCTCAGGTCATGATCCCAGGGTCCTGGGATCGGGCCCTGTGTCAGGCTTCCTGCTCCACGGGAAGCCTGCTTCTCCCTCTCATGCTCCCCCTGCTTGTGTTCCCTCTCTCACTGTGTCTCTCTCTGTCAAATAAATTTTAAAAAATCTTTTAAAAAAAGAAAAATTACCACCCAGGCGTTTATCCTGAGTTTGCATCAGTAAGTGCAGTGGTAAATAGTGTCAGAGGAAGCTGTAACCTTGACCCTCAAGGCATCTTCCCTTTTGAAGAGATAAAGGCCAACTACTCTTTGGATTTGTCTTCTCAATCTGGTTGCTCTCCAGGCTTTCCTGTCTCAGTACGTCATTCTGACCACCTAATTAGCTGAGAGAAGCTTGGGAGTCATCTTGGTCCTTCATTCTCGTTATCTTTCTCTAAGACCATTTGATTCTGTCTCCAAAACAAACCCAAATTTGTGAATTTGTTTCCTCAGTCACCAGCTCATACTGGGACTGTCCTTGTGTCCTTACTGGGCTCTGGCTTCCTTTGTCACTTTCTTCCAGTCCTTTCTCCACATAGCAGCCGGAGCAGTTTCCTAAAGGTCCTGTTGTTCACTCACCTGCTAAAATTGTTCAGTGGCTTCCCGATTGTACCTGAAATATAAAATGCTTTTCACCTAAAAGACCTTGCATCATATGGCTCCTGCTTGCTTCTATGATTTCATCTCATGCCTCTCCTTATGGGCCTCTATTTTTAGTTTTCAATACCACCGAACTTTCCTGGCCTTTTTTAGGAAGTTAAACAAACTTTATATAATTTATTAATTTGCCCAGATCTCACAGTGGCAAAACTTTGGTTATAGCCCTAATTTACCTGACTTTTCTTGCCCGCTGTGAAATTCTATTTCCTATAATGTAGTGTTTTGTATGTTTGTATGTGTTTGATGGTTTAGGAAGGACAAATAATGATTGATTCAGTGTGTCTGACCTAAAACTTCCAGTCTTCTGGAATACCCTTATTTGTATATGTTGTGGTAAAATACACAGAATATAAAGTTTACCATTTTAACTGTTTTTAAATGTATAGTTCCGTGGCATTAAGCACATTCACATTGTATTATGAAAAGTTAGGGACCATCTCCAGACCATCATCCATCCATCTCCAGAACTTTTTCATTTTCTCAAACTGATCTTCTGTTCCCATTGAACAGTTACTTCCCTTTAAGCCCTTCTCCAGCTTCTGGCAACTACTCCCTTTCTTTTACTATTCAAAAAACAATTGGTTTAATATTAGAAGATGAGTTTAAATCCCTCATCTTAGGTGAATAGACTTAACTAGTAACTATGTTAAGCAAAAAACACGTTTAAACCCCCATTCTGCTTTCACCTCTTTCTGAAACATTTGTGGGGAGTGCGAGCAGTTCTAATAGTTTAATGCTTTTTCCTTCCTACTCTTTCCCCCACTGTACATGGGTTGCTAAAAGCATGTGCGGTGCTTCAACGCTGGGCTCTTGTATACTACTCTTCTTGAATTTTGACCATTCTGAGGGATGCAGAACATTAGCAGTCACTCCCCCTGCGCCTTGCCCTTAGGCCCCAGCAGCCACAGTTTATTCTGGATATTGCATATAAATGGGACCATACAATATATGGCCTTTGAGACTGCCTTCTTCACCTGGTATATTGTTTTTCAGAATTCATCCATGCAGCATGGGTCACATATTTTTCCATCATGTGTATAATGTATCTCATTACTTTTTATGGCTGAATATCCCATTGTTTGGGTGTACCACATTTTATTTATCCATTCATCAGTTCACCAACATTTGGGTTGTTTCCCCTTCTTGGCCATTATGAATAATACTACTGTGAATATTTGTGTACAAGTTTTTGTGTAAACGTATGCTTTCAATCTCTTAGGTACGCCCTTAGCCATGGCATTGCTGGGGCATATGACTACTCTATGTTTAACATTTTGAGCAACTCCCAATCTGTTATCTGAAGTGGTTGCATTATTTTTCATTTCCACTAGCAACATTTAAGTTCTAGTTTCTCCACATTCTCACCAACACTTGTTGTTATCTTTATTTTCTAATTTTAGCCATGAAGTGGTATCTTCCTAATTTCCTAATGATGTTGAGCATCTTGTCCTATGTTTATTTTCTGTTAGTATGTTGTCTTTGGAGAAATGTCTTTTCAAATCCTTATCTATTTAAATTGGGTTATTTGTCTTTTTAGTCATCTGTAAGGTTTTGTTTTGTTTTTTGTTTTTTTTTTTAAAGATTTTATTTATTTATTTGAGACAGAGAGAATGAGAGAGACAGAGAGCACATGAGAGGGGGGAGGGTCAGAGGGAGAAGCAGGCTCCCCGCTGAGCAGGGAGCCCGATGCGGGACTCGATCCAGGGACTCCAGGATCATGACCTGAGCCGAAGGCAGTTGCTTAACTAACTGAGCCACC